CCCCCCCAGCCCCCCGCCGGCAGTCTCCTTAAAGGCAAGGTTTGCGTTTTGGCTGACGAGCAGTTCCCTCAGTTACCAATCCCTGCCAACCAGCACTACCATGGCTGAATTGATCTACCGTTTTCCTGAGTAAACTGTTAACTGGCTACAGTTCCGGTAACGTGGAGAAGAACTCAGCTACTACAGCCAACTTCGGTACCCGAGGGGTCCCCTCCACGCTCAGCTCCTCGCTCCTGGTCCATCGGATTCAGGAATTCGAGAACTTGCTGGAGTCTGGTCTGGAAGCCTTGTTTTCAAGACAGGTGCCAGGGACTCGACTGCACTCACTAAACCAGAGGGCACGTGCTGGCTTAGGACACCCGGAGCTTACTTGGAGAGGGCCCTGCTTCACGCTCTAGCTCTTGGATGGCTATTGCCTGGTTGATCAGTAAAGCAAGTATGAAGAAGTACACAGGAACAGGGAAAGGGAGGGGAGAAGAGGTTTGTGGACAGTAACATTGCCAAAAAAAAAAAAAAAAAAGAAGTGTTTGATGCAACAGAGAATCAAGTTTCACTGGTGTATACCTACAAATGGTCAGACATCTTCAAGAGCATGACAAAATAAAAACACGCAAATTTACGTCTGATGTTCACCTTGCCCACTATTTTTTTTTCCTATCTTATAACAGTGCAAACAGGTAACTTATGCTTTTTAAAACACCACTACCCCTTCCCCAACCCCCACCCCCCAAAGTCCCTTTCTTCCTATCAACTGGGGGAAAAAAGTCTGCAATTCTGCAAATGTTACTGTCCTAGAGGCTGCAAGCAGCAGAGGGGGCTGGATGCCGGGCTCCCGGCCGGCGTGCCTTCCAGACGGACCCTGGCGTGGCCTCGCGCGCCTGCCCGAGGAAAGGGGGGTGATCAAGGCCTTCCTGCAGGTCCTCGAGGTGGCTTCCATCCCGAGTCTACACCTCCCTCCCATCGGGAAACTAATGGGGGGTGTTGACTCACCCACTGCTCCGCTGCACGGTTAGGAAAGTATGACCTGAAGTCAGAGCGGCCCAGCCCCTGAGGGGTTCTACTTTTCAGGAAGAGCTGCTGTCCCGGGTTTCTACTGAATAACGTCCACTAGCTCCCCTCTTAAACTAGGAGTTGAGCCCCAGTGCCCTTCTTTTTCGAGGACAAGTGACACCGGCTCCATCCCACCTCGTGGCTGCCGGAGGCCGGGGGCGGCGGCAAGGCCGGCAAACCCGAGAGCCTTAACAACGCTGAGTCACAACGTCTGACCCGGTGAACCGCGCACCACAAGGGATTCCAGAAAAGACCTACGGGCAGCTCTCTGGGCCGAAAGAGGGAGACCGAGAGGACGGTTTTCGCTAGGGGTCTCCTTAAAGGAGCCCAGCTTCTCTAGGAGTAAGATGCTAAGCACAGGAGTCCACGCCAGGAGCTACGGGAAAGCTGTGGAAATCGGTCACGTGCTGGCCTTCAGCATCGGTGAGGTTTTTGGATCATCGAGCGGCATCCGCCCACGAGCCCCCAGACGCCAGACTCCCTCCCGGCTCGGTCGCTCGGTGCGACGGGAACCAGAGCCGGGAGCAGACAAGCCTCGGTGCTCCGAGGAACCTGCCTCCGAGGGGGGCTGGCTGTACGGAGTCTCAAAGTTCAAGAGGTGAGGGGGAGGCCGACACCGTCTCCTTCGGGTGCTCACGGGAGCCCCGAGTCTCAGTGCTGACGCTAAAAAGCAAAGGCCCTCTGGCGAAAGCCGAACTCTGCTTGGCTTTCCTTAGAGAAGGGACTGGAGGAAGCCGAGCTCAAAGCCATCCCTGGAGACGCAGCAGGGCACGCAGGGCCTGCCCGCGGAGTCCTCAGCCAGAACCCGCTGAACTGAAATGCACGCAAGGAACCCCAAGCTCCAGCTTCCGCCTCTTTCCGAAGGGCGGTGGGGGCTGCCTTCTCTCCCTTTCCCACCGTCCTGGTCTCTCTCTCGGACAAAAGAAGAGCAAATGATTAAGCTCATTCCCCTGCGACAGCCACAACCACGTAAAATCTGGCCTGGTCTCCACCGAGCCGTGGTTTGCCATTTTTGTCAATGGCCCCTGTTTGAACACAACCCGAGGTTTCTCTGTGTCTTTAGTCAGTAAAAGCTCTCCCTCAAAACAAAAGCCAAAAGCAAAGGGGGGAAAAAAAATCCTCCCTGCCCCCATTCTCTAGAACTGTGATAGCCCCCACATCCCATGAACCCTTCCTCTAACTAAAATATTTATATACAACACAACAAAAATTGTCTTAACGGCAACGAACCAAACTTTGGCTTGGGGAGGAGAACCCTTCAAAGTGGCCAACGGCCCGGGCAGTTTGGTGTCCCCTGTTCCATGCAGTCCTCCCCAGAATCAGTTAAGATTGCATCGAGGCCTCTATCTTCCTTGACGTCTCCCCTCGTTTCAGGGACAGCCTCTCCCCCGGTCATCAGGAGAGCGGGGCTTCCGAGGGGGGAGAAGAGTTGTGCTTTACACGACAGGCCAGTCCCTCCCGGACAGATCACTCTGCTTACAAAGGATGCTTCATGCTGCCATGTGTCAGTCATTTTAATTCAGGGACACGAATAGTCATCAGTCAAGAACATGTGTGGAGGCAGGAGTAAAAAAACAAAAACAAAAACAAAAACACAAACGGAAAATAAACCCATACCAAACCGGAAGCTCCATGTCTCTGAATTACTCCCTTGAGCAGCTATCCCTTGGGTGAGAGGTCACCCTAGTACCAACGTGAATAGACCAGGGAGCCAAACAGAACGTGCTTTTCTATTTTCTCAGGCCTTCATTTTGGAAATGCGGCAGGACCCTGGCCTCTACCATTACCAGCTAGAAGAGAAACGCCTCTCCCCTACCTTGCTTATACATGTAACATCAAAGCCGCAGGGCCGCGGCAGTGACCCACTGCTGCGGCCACCACAGGACTCTTCCTGGCAACACAGAAGATCCTTGCCACGTCAGACTCTCTTTCCAGGATGGGAGGGGAGCAACCTCAGGGGCTCGGATTTGATATCCTGTAGTGTTGGTATATATGCCAAGTGGGCGGGTGCTCGGCTGGCGTCTTTGGAGGATGACGAGAAGCCGGGCGGAAGGGCCACGAGAGCTCAAGACTGTGGACAGAGAAGTGGCTCGCAGAGGCCCCGGGAGCGGGGATTCCTATGGCTTTGGAGCCAGTACAAAGCGCCCCTGCCTGCCCTTCCGTGCCCCGGTCACCGCAAGCTTCCAGGGACAGCGGACCCGGCACTCGATGCTTGATCTTTTGCTAACGGTTTTCATACGTTTTACACCTTGATGTAAGAGAAAGGACAGGAATATCAGAGCCCTGCCAGACACCCTCCGATAGCCCTTTTCTTTTCCTTACTGTCTTTACTGACTCCCAACACTCTGTACTTCTAACCCTCAAGCCGGGAAATCTGGTCGCTGGCTATTTATTCTCCTGTCCCTGGGTCCTAAATTCCTGACTCCTGAGGACGCGGGAGCAGGGAGTTCATAAAAGCACAGATGAGCCAAGCCGTGGTTCAGAGAAAGGAGAAGAGGCCCAGCAGGAATGCTAGGATCTCAAGAAAGAAAAGAATGATCTTTTTCACACTCCGGAGTTCATTCTGAGATCGGTTTCCTAATGAGGTGTTTATTATCCACAGTCTGAGAGCGTGTTTGGAAATATTAATACTATAATTCCAAAAACTATGCCAACCGTCTCAGGCTGTGCAGGTAAGATGATTGTAAAAAGGATGGAGAAGACAGGAGGGAAGAGGAGAGGACAGTGGCTTTTAATTCTCCCGCTTTGCAAGCACAAATTCCTGTCATCTATCAGCATGTGGATTCCAGCCACAGCCAACCAGAATTGCCTGCCGAAGACCAGAAACTCAGAAGACTAGAAGAATATCCTGTCGCAGAAAGATCTCCACTTCTGCTTGTCCCCCAGCCACTCAGCACCGGATACACTTTGGTAACTCTGTCTGCTGATTTCTGATCACATGCATTCATCAGCTCCTAAGGGTCTCTCCTTCCTCATGAACTGCCTCTTCCGTGATTGACAGAATGAGCTAGCACGGACATACAGACATGGAAATGCATTATTTTTTTTTTTTTTACCACAGTTAAAAAAAAAAAAGAAAAAAAAAAAAAATGCACAATCTTTGGAACAAAAGAATTAAAGGCAGAAATTTAAAGGGCTTCATATTAAAGAACAGGTGGTACAAGTATTCTCTCTTTTTTTGTGTTTTTTTTTTTTTTGTTTGTTTGTTTTTCCTCTTCATCTTGCTATAGAGTTCCTCTACTAGTAAATATTGCAATAGCCAGGCCTCATGAACTGGGGGGCTGTCCCATTTGCGGGGTCTCACGTCACTTCAGTAGGGGGCAAATCGGCTGTAGCCACCTCGGTATAAACTCGCCTGCAGTAATTAGAGACATAAAAATAATTAAAAGGTTGATGAGAGAAACATTAAAGGTGAAGAAAAGTGTCCTGAAAAGGGATTTGGGAAAACAGTTTCTTTAGAAGCTTCAAAGCAACTGGTACGATGTGACCTTGTGCAGTGACATTGGGAAACCAACTTCTGCCTCTAAGGGGCTCAAACCAGAACCCACGACACTCACTGCTGGCCCGATATTCTCAAGAAGAGGGTATGACAACACTGTACTTAATGATTTACATGAATTAGCAAAGAAGGGAAACTCAGTAGAGTTTAAAACCAAGTCAGTAAATAATCTGATGTTTAAAATTTAGCACGAGTTTCGGTTTACCTTGATGACATCACAGCTGATTTCACCTTCTTGCACATTACCTGTCTGCAGGGAACAGGTGCTCAGGTGCTCTGACCACTAACTGTCACATACCACGTTCGAGATGGTGCTGGATTTAAACCACAGTCAATCTTTTAAATATTAAAGTCTAGTTCCTCTATAACCTACAAAATGTGCCAACTAGGTGCTTCTTGACGTATCTGAATTCCTTCCTTCCTTCCTCCCTCCCTTCTCTTCCTTCCTTCTCTCCCTCCCTCTCTCTCTCTCTCTCTCTCATTTTAACTGGGCTTTAATTCCTTTCTTTTATCCAACGACCTATCTCCATTAAAAGTTCCCTAGGAACATCTCTCTCTCCTTGGGTCATTCTTACGGGGTCGGATCTCTATCTTTTTGGCACACAAAATCTCAGCAACTTCTATCTTGTCTTTATCTTGTCTGTCTACACCTACATTCCCCTCAGGACCCTGTTACTTCCTCCCACAAATCTATCATTAGAAATTTAGTGTGAGAAATGATGGGCTCTCTCATATTCCTCCCGGTCTTAAATTTCATTTATCACTCTGCCTCCCCATCACACACTGTCGTCCGTGACCCCCAGGCCGCTGCCTGGCTGTACTCTGGATGGCACACAGTGTTAGGAGATGTCGCTGTGACACGGTGTGTCCCTGCTGCGGCCGGTGAGTCACTATCACTGGGCCTGGAGGTATCCAGGCCACCACAAAAATACCACAGTGAGGGTTCGAGTTTGGTTGGGGGGAGGATTATTCTAAATTGAGGTCTATGGATCTTTTCTACGCTTCCAGGAAAACATCATATTTTGCTATGAATGTTACGGATAGAAAAGACCTTTGTAAGGCATTCATTTGGTGATTTCTAGTGCTTTCTGCCAGAAGGCTCAGAAATGGCAGGGACATCCTTTGATATCTGCATCTGAAACTAATGCACAGGTTTTGGGAAGCTTACTGTGAAAGCTGGAGAGTCTCTCCCCCGACATCTCTGCTAAGACCTATCAGTTAAACCAAGCCACAGGTGTATGTATCCAACATCTGAGCCAATATAAAGCATCAACCTGTTCCCTTCTTTCTCTCCCAAATGATGCCGTCACCCAGGGCAGACTGTCACTATTCATGCCTTTCTGCTGCCGGTAACCAGGTCAAGGGGCTCACGCTACAATACACAGATGAAGGTGATATGAATTTCCAGCTAGTCTTCTGTGGCTTCAACACTTTGGCAATGGAAGAAGGGCTGAATTTGTTACACTTCGAGAGCTTCTGCAAACTGCAGGTAAAAGTTAAAAGGTGTAAAGTGGTTAAAAAAAAATACGGTACACAGAATAATACTCACCACAGCGCCAACTCCATAGCTAGCGGCAGGGGCCAGGGCGTGGTAGGGGTCGGCTGTGTATACTCGGCCGTAACTGGAGAGAAGAAAGACAATCAGGGAGAGCAAGAAAAGGCCATGATCTAAAAGAATGAGAGCGCTTACTGTGCTAATCAAGACTAGCGAGTAACTCGGTCCTCAACGTTATTGGGGAACGGGCAGAACGGAAACCTGTCCGCTTCTACTCCCAAATGCAGTACCTCTGGAAACTTCTGAAGGACTTCCATCAAATGGAAAAGCAAGGAGGTGGGGATGAGGAAGAGGGAGAGAGGGAGCCTGGGGTCAAAGCCAAAGAGAGACAGGAATAAGCGGGGAGGGGGGCGGAGCACAGGGCCTAAGGGGGTCTGCAGGCATCCGGAGGCCCAGGGTGGCCCGAGTGGCGATCCGGAAATGGTGACAGGAGGAAGGCGGGGAGGCGGCACCCCCCCCCCCCCCCCCCCCCCCCCC